ATGGAGGTATTGGTGTATGGGGTTTAGGGTGGGATTTTTCTATGTGGGTCTTGGTGTGGGTCTTATGGTGGTTCCATCCTAGGGGTATTCCTATGGTTGTTTTGGTGAGGTTAGGGTTGAGGTATAAGTTGTTATGATTTGGGTGCTAGGGGGGGTGCATGGTTAGAAAATGGAAATGGTCATTGCTAGCTCATTAACATGCCGGTGAAGAGCACGGCTTTACAACTCTATGACAACCCCTTATTTATGATGATCTCTACAGTAGTTGTTATGCCCTACTCCTACACCCTCTTCAATAATACGATATACTACCCTTTTATATGCCGTGCAATAGCCCCCATACTATACCCTTCTGTAAGTAACATCAACTTTATTCTAAGCGCTATCATATACGTCATATACTCTGCTATAACCTCTATTCTACACCCTATTGCAAACCTCTGAAACCATAATATTGTATACGGCATTGTTCATTATCTATCGTCCTTTCGGCCCAAATTTCTATCGTACGGGGAGCAACATCAACCTTACTCTAAGCCATATTTTTTATGTCATAAACCCTCCTAGAAGCTCTATTCTATACCCTACTGTAAACCTCTTAAACCCTAAACCCCAAACCCTAAACCCCAAACCCCAGACCCTAAACCCTAAACTAAACCCCTAAACTAAACAATGACTTACACCCCAAAGTCTTCTGAGCTCAGCGAGGTCTTCCGGCCTCAACGCCGTGCTGCGAAGCCTCCGCTGGCAGCCCGATGAGCTCCAGCTGCAGATTTTTCTTTTTGGGGTTTAGGGTCTAGGATTCAGGGTCTGAGGCTGGGGTTTAGGGTCTAGGATTTAGGGTCTGAGGCTGTGGTTTAGGGTCGAGGATTTAGGGTCGTGTTTCCCTCTCGCATGGCTGAAATTTATAAGGATTTAGGATCCAGAGTCCATGGTTTTTCAGCCTTGGATCTAGGGTGTAGGGTCTAGGATTTAGGGTCTAGGATTTGTGGCTTACGGTCTGTTAAGGAACCGTAATAAATACCTATACTATTTTGGGGGGGTTCCTTACATTCTACTTATAGTATAATATACCCCAAAGCCTTATTCTAATGATTAAGGACCCTGCATGAGAGTTTCCGGTCTAGCTGGGTATCGGATTGGGTTTAGGGTTTGTCAGCTTTTGGTTCTGACAGGTTTTGCCATTGGATTTATCCTAGGTGGACAGAAAGTGAGGGGGTAGTCTGGGGTTCAAGGCTGCTTGGGACTTAGAGTAGGCTCTAGCCATAGAGTTGGAGAATATGTAATTGCTATCTATCTATCTATCTATCTATATATATATATATGTGTGTGTGTGTGTGTATTTTATATATATATACATACATTCGCACTCACAAGCTTACTGTATTCGCTGAAGAGCTTGTCGAGGCTGGTGTTCCAGTCCAAGCGGCTACTCAGAATCAAGAGCGTTGCCGCTGTTCCAAGGACATTCTACTGCTGACAACAGCTGCTTATGCGGTGCTGCCGAACACGGCTCAGTGGCTGCAGCAGCGGTATGGCATTCGAACTCTGCACGTCGAAGTGTTCCTTGATCTGAGTTGAGCACTGGGAGTCATGATATGGTGGCGGCCTAGAGACTACAATTGTACTACGGAGCAACAAGGAACCACATTAACAATAATTATTCAGTCTTCCGTATTACCTTGTCTTACAGCCAGGTCTTGTTAGTGCTCGTATGTTTAGGTGAATTACAGGGCGTGTTCCAAGGCTATTACAGGCGTTGGTCTATGTTGGTCTGTTCAATCTGACAAGTGCTGCTACGTGAGGTCTCGAATTTAAAGCGGGAGGGCTGGCAGATCACTGCTGGCAATTAGAAGCACAACATGGTATGACATGCCTCAACCGAGCTGTTGCCGTTGAGCTACATGTTGCCAACCGCATGAACCTGCTTAGGCGTCAGAAGGACTTCAACCCTACGCATTTCAACCCTACTATCACCACTCACGAACACGAGATCTCCTCGTTGAGTTTTCTTCACGTGCCCGGGCTACTTCTTAGCAGCCACCGCCAGCACCCAGCAGGAAGCAGCCCAAGCCTGGCAGCAAAAAAATTGCAAATCCTGATCCCACAAACCCGAAACCCTAAAAGCCCCGAAAGTGCTCTCTCCGACACCACTGACGCCCCAAATTGTAGTAAGGACAGTCCCTAACCCTGAGCCCTCTCCGAGTCCCTAAACCCCACACTTAAAGCTAGGCACTTCCCGGCGACTGGCGCCGGGACCTTCCTGGATCCAGTGAGGGATGCCCTGGAGAAGCTTGGAGCAGAGGCGGCCAGGGGTCTTGGGGTTCGGGGTTTAGGGATTTAGGGATGTATAGGTAAGGGTTCTACGATAATTTTTGGACGTCAGCTTTAAGCACGTAACCAAGGAGCGCGAATATATCGGTGCCTTTATAGCTAGATCTATGTATGCCTTTGGGCTCCCTATGGTAAGTACCCAAATCTGGAGGTTTTTTTTTTTTGCGTTTTACAGGCTCTTGGAAGGGTTCCCATAGATGGGTTCTATGTTTTCTGTTTTCAATTTATAGGGTTTGGGGCTTTATGCTGGAGGTTTCGGGGATCGGGGCTGAGAGCTTAAAGTGAGCTTCTTAATATGGCGCGCCACTTCTTGGATACGCAGGGTTAGGGTTTAGGGGTTTAGGGTGTAGGGGTTTAGGGATTTAGGGCTCTGGGGTTTACGCAAGTGCTGCTGCAGGAGCGTGAGTGCTTGAAATCGAAGCCTGTGTCATCCTGTGCCGCAAGGCGTCTCGCCTTCGGCTAGCCGTCTTTGATCATGCGGCCCGGCATCACTAAGCCTTTAACGAGTTCTCCTCTTGAGGCTGAAGGGAGATGTCCTGCGCTTTGCAACCTGAGGTCCCGTAATACCCTAACCCTCGAAACCCCTAAACCTTATAAACCCTAAACTCCCAGGTGTCCTCCTATCCGCCAGCCGTCCTTCCCGTGGAAGCCTTGGCCAAGCAAGTCAAGGCGCAGGGCATCTTCGCTTCAGTTCCGGCTTTGGGATCCTTTCACGTTCACACATAAGAACCCTTCGCATCAAAATAGCCCACAAACCTTATATAATAGAGTCTTTGAGCCCCAAAAGCTTCACACATGAGTCCATTGAGGGTAAGGGTAAGGGTTGACTTGTGGCTTTTTAGTGGAAAGGGGCCGGGGGTTTAGAGCTGCGGCTCTTTGAGGTGGAACTTTGGATTGCAGTTGTCCGCTACACTATTCCTGAACCCCCCGCAGGAGGCGGCGCCGAGTGCGCTCGTGCTGTTGGATGGAGCTCACGCTTTGGGGCAGGTGCCCGGGAGATCATGGAAACAAGGCCTAAAGTCTCCATTGTAGTTGCTGTTTGGGGTTACCGTTTAGGATCCGTCAAACTGGTTAAGCCAAAAAGGGACGATAGGATTGTAAGACCGTCGACAAAAGCCTTAATTCGGAAGGTGCCTATTTCCATGACGGCCTTGGCCGCAGCGGGAGTGGACTTCTACGCCTGAGTCTCAAAGCCATGCCTTGCGGCCAACAGTTTGTTCAACGTGAGCTTACTCGATCAAGATAATAAGCGCTGTATTTGGAGCGTAGCGAAGCGACTCTTCAATTCGCCTGACTTTCTTCCTACCCCAGGGTTTAGGGGTTTGGGTTTAGGGTGTGCAGCTCCGTTGCATAGACCTACGGCATGAGGCCGCTGCCCAAACGCATGTTCCTCGCAACGGTCTGCACGGTTCGTGCTGAAGGTTCATTCAGTCTTTGCAATGATTCGTGCATCAAGCCCATGTGCAGCTATGTGCTGGTGCCACCACTTGCCCAATAATTATTCATTACCGTATTTCACATCCCCATGGTTGCCGATGTTGGTACTGTACTTCAACTACAATGGCCCCGCCATGCGGGAATCCTCCTGAATCCTCCATGCATGATATCCACGCAGCCTTCGCAAGCAGCGGTTCAGAAATGGCTGGCTGCAGCACCCAAGCCCGGTTGGGGTGTGAATCCCGCAAAACCGTCGAATTGGTATGTTTCAAGTGCCTCTATGCTGATAGAAACAACGCTCGCGTTGGTATCTAAGGCTGCGATGGCCACACAGACGCCAGCTTTTTGCACTGATAGTTCTCCTACATTTGACCTACCGCCATATACACCTTGAGGTTGTAAACCCAAAACCCTCAAACCTAAATCCCAATCCCTAAACCGTAGCAAAGGCCGCTCTTCTCACCGACGCCCCAAAGTTACACAAGCTCGGCTCAGCATTGAGAATCTTAGTAGCTGAGTAGGTAACCTTTAACTTTTTTGGGCTTATATATTCCTACCATCATTGAAAGGTTAACCTTTTTTGGGCTAGGGTACTCGGCAAAAGGTATTTAGGGCTTATCCGCTGAGAGTCCCCTCCTGTAGCTCTACCGACAGTATAACAACTGGGCCCAAAAACCCGCCTCAAAAGCCCTGCCTTATAGCCCTTGAAAGGATTACAGCTGCAGTCTGTTAACCCCGAAGGCCTGTGTTCCTTATTGCGGCCCCTACATCATAAACCCTGATGTGAAAACGCCTAGCAAACCTTCGTGAGCCCTTTCATCTCCCTGTGACCCCAAACCCTACACACTAGTAGGTTATGACCCCTGAATCGGAGGGTAGAACCCCTAGAACGGTAGGTTTTTGGATTCCCAGGTATGATAACACCCTTATGCTGCAGCTTCATCTAGAGCTGAAGTCTCAGCTTCCCACACCTTTCCGCACATCTTCGTAGTATGCCCTAAACCCTAAACCCTAAATGTCAGAGCCAGGTCACGGATGGCCACAAGTGGCTCATGGCACCCAAGGGCAGCGGTGCACTTTGGGCACGCGGCTCTGCGCAGCCATTGCTGGAGCCCGCGATCATCTCCTCGGACAATGCGCCAGGCTTGAGTGTTGGCTCCTAGGTTTTTTTTGGGAGACCCCTTAAAGGGGACCCTTCTTAACCCTACTTGTGGCTCTCTTAAAGGGGACCTTATTGAGAGGGTCTATCCCCTCAAGGGTCCCCCCAACCCCAACTCCTAATGGCCGGCTACGACCTGTCGACTTTTCTCAGTAGCTGAGTAGGTAACCTTTAACCTTTTTGGGCTTGAATCATCCTACCATAATTCAGAGGTTAACGTTTTTTGGGCTAGGGTACTCAGCCCCTAAGTTGTTCTGCCGATTTAAGGGAAGAGAAGCGTAGCCAGTTTCCCTAAGACTCCAAAAAGTCCAAAGTAGGTACCATTTATAGACGTTCTATAGACCCCAAAGTACGTATAGGTGTATACTTGGAGTCTTAGGGTTTGGCTCAAGGGAAGACCAAACATCCTTCACGCGGTAGCTGGAGGTGCCTGCTCCAGGGAAAGTATGCCAAACAAACGCAAGATAGCACTGGAAGAGACCCTCTCCCACGGTTGACTTAAGGGACGTCTTCAAGAGAACTACACACTGGAGGATGCTGGAGCCAGCGATCTCATGAGCAGTAATGTAGGGGCCTTAAAAATTAGGCTAGGGTTTGGGGGGTTCATTTCAATAAACAAAAATACCCCCAAACCCAATTCTAACTCGAATTATTAAGGCCCCTATATTAGTATGGCCGTTCGGCTCCAGCAGCCTTACCATTCATGCTCCCTAACGTCACTCCTGAGTATCGTCGCAGGGGCCCGAGCATCCACTAAACCCTAAACCCTAAACCCCTAAAGCCCTAAACTTAAGCCGCCGCCTGCCAGGATCGAGCTTCCAGTCTCGCTTTGACTACATCGGCACGCGGGACTACACTCCCTGGTGTGCCATGGGATCGGCGATGGACTTTCGTCGGGACGTGCTTGGAGGAGAAGACCGCTGCCCAGCGGCAAGAGCAAAGAAGTCAGGAGCCTGAGGGCTCCTTATGTATTTATGCAAAATACTCGTAGCTTCTTATGTATTTATAGCTTTTATTGTATTTATGCAAAATACTCGTAGTTTCTGATGTATTTATGCAAAGTACTCCAAAACAAAATTCTAATTATCAGTGCTCTTCGACTATGCGCATGTTATTGTGGGTGCACTGGGCGAAGGGATGCTGATCTGGATGAGAAGATTGGCAACGAAGACATAACCACTATATCAAGGGTGAGACCATGATGGTGATTGATCATGCAAATAAGCCAAATCATGGTGATTCCAGGCGGTTTTCATAATTTGCAACATGGCGTGTGTCCGTGCTGTTACTGCTTCACGCACTGGTCTTTCTCATGGTCATGTTGATGATTGAAATGCAATTGTGGAAAGTGCAGGAGTCTTGTCGTGGTGGTGGTCGTGGTCGTTGTGGTGACTGGTGGTGGTCGACGCAGTTGTGTTAGAGCCAGCGCCAATCGCTAAGTGAGATGCACAACAACCACGTGGTTTAATGAGCCATTTCGCCTAGCAGCACCAACGTGACACTGATGATGATCATCGCAGCACCAGTCATGGTTTGTCACTTTCTGCTCTTTGTACCCTCAACCCTTTAACTTTAAACCATCAACCCTAAACCCGAAACGGAGCTTGGAATGGCCAACCGAGGCATCCAAAGCTACGTCACCGGCCTGGCTCGTTGGGCTGGGAGGCACATGGCAGACCGCCTTGGCACCGAGACGGTGGCACCAGATCTTCGGCAACGATTGTAGGCATTAGGGTTTTAGAGGGTTTAAGGTTTAGGGGTTTAGGGTTTTAGGGTTGAGGGTTTAGGGGTTTATCGTCTAGAGCTTAGGGTTTAGGGGTTTAAGGGTTGAAGGGTTTAGGGGTTTAAGGGTTAAGGGGTTTAGGGGTTTGGGGGTTTCGGGTTGTAGGCTTTGGGGTCTTGGTTCCCGGTGTCTGCTTGTAGTGAAGGGGGAGAGGGTCTGGGGCCTTGCGTTTTGACGCAGCTCTGCCCAGGCTTCAGCCCTATCAAAGACTGTACGAATATTAACACCGATAACAAATAATAACAATCATGTTAATCTGAGTATTCGTATTCATGGTCATAATAATCTGATTATAAAGATTCCTAGTACAAATCAAGGCCTATAGGCTATAGGCCTAAACCCCAGGTGAACTGAGCCCCAAGTCATGACAGAGCCGAGGATTCAATGACCCCCGGCATGTTTGCCCTGCGGCTACCACTGCCCGAGGCTGCTTCAGGGTTTAGGGTTTAGGCAATCTTCGCAACTCCTAGGGCTTGAGGATCACAGGGTTTAGGGTTTAGGGGATCCAATCTTCGCAACTCCTAGGGCTTAGGGATCACATTCAGGGTTTAGGTTTTAGGTTTGCTGTGTTCAGGGGACGGGTAGGTTATGTTAGAAGCTCAGGAGATCTGCCCGAAGAACTAAACGTTTCAGGCGCTTCCCAGGAGTTGCGGTAGCAGGTTGGATTCATCTGTAGCTTCGGGTGCTTGCAACATTAGGATTGCGTCTGGGTCGCCCAAACCATATAACCCTAAACCCTAAACCCAAAGCATATAAGCCCAAGCCGTCTTTCTCCCAGACCTTCGGACGTCACGTGAAGATCAGCCAAACTGCGCGGGAGCGGCTGGCTACCCCCATAGCCTCCAAACCCTGAACCCTGAAACCGTAAACCCATAAACCCCCAAAACATGAAGTCCTGAACCCTTAAACTCGAAACCCTAAGCCCCGACCCCGAAACCCTGCCCAATAGACTTCAGAGGGATTGAGCTTCATTTCAAAAGACGAGCAACTGTCGCGTGGTGCACCTTACCTATACTCTCCGTTGTGGTCCCTTTACTTTCTTGGTTTAACCAGTTTTATAGTTAGGATCTTGAAAGGTAACTTGAAAACATAACCGCAATGGAGACTATAGTAGGTAAACTTTTCACCTCTGAGCCCTAGACTCTAAACCCACACTCCAGCCCCCTGCTACGATCCCCAAGCCAAAGCATCTGAACCCCAATCCCGAAACCCTAAACCCTGAACCCGAAACCCTAAACCCTAAACCCCTAAACCTTGAACCCTAAACCCGACACCCTAGACAAACCCCTAAACCCTGAACGCTAGATAAACCCCCAAACCCTGAATCCTTAACCCTGAACCCTCGACTCTGAGCCATAAACCTAGAAGCCTGAACTCGAAGCCCTAAATCTTAAACCCTAAGCCCTAAACCCGGAACCATAAACCCCCCCCAAAGAGAAATCCCCAGCTCTCAGACTTCACGTAAACAACGAAGCACCCCCAAATGCGATACCCTAATCTCTGGACCCTAAAACCCCCTTCAAAAAATGATACTCATAGTAGTCCTTATAGTAAACCTAGACGTAAACTCCCTGAGGACTGGACTCCGAGTCAGAAAACGGCATGCAGCGGGTTGATTGCACAAGGGCTCATTGGCCAGTGCCTCGTTGCAGACGATGATGGTTTAGGGTTCAGGGTTTAGGGCAGATCATGATGATGATGGCGATCATGATGATGATGCCGATGATGATTCTGATCACAATTCTGATGATGGATGACGATAACAATTATGATGATGCTGTGGGCGTGCGCGCGTGTGTTTGTGTGTGTGTGTGTTTTACGTGGTTAGGTTTTTGTTGGGTTCGGCCTTTGGGTGTGGGGATTAGGTGCTAGCTTTTAGGAGGCTTCTCTAGAGAGGGTCCTGTTGGGGTTCCCTACAGAGTGTGGCACTCTTATGATAAGGAAATTGGCAGCGACCCTAATTCAGAGAACAACCCGAAGGCATGTGCAGGTCTACATGTATACCTAGGCATATGACCCCCTGCAGTCCTTGCACATCGGCGCGCGCGTGTGTGTGTGTGTGTGTGTTTGTTTTTGTTTGTAAGCATGCATCTATGAAGACATGTATGCAGCTGTGCATCTATGCATGCAGTTTATGTATCGATGGGTGCACCCTCCCTGTCGTAGCCGTGCATGACTCCTGACTTGTTTCGAAATACTTCAAAGGCTATGGCTACAGCATAAGATCTCCAAAGACACAGCTTTTGCTCTCCAATCCTCAACACACCTCAACCCTGCCTCCGGAGAGGTACTCCATGCAAGTGATCTCTTTCGGCCTCCACACTCCCGCGAGCGATGGGCGCGAAGAGGCCGCACATATCGGACGCCTGGGTTGCTTTGGGGCTTCATGGTTTGTGCAGTTTCTTGTTGAAAGTGCCTGCCTGGTTATGTCGCGTCCCGCGATGTCCGCTCTCCTTCGTCCTTCCACCTTCAACTACTAAGATTTAGACAACCGCCAGTGGAGTTGTCGTGGCGGATGCAATGCAAAACAAACAAAGCTGCATGCATCAATTATTCGAGCAGAAGAAGAGGAGCCGGAATCATCAGCATTCAGAGACTTTCATTGCTCCATGTGGGCAATCATGGATACCACCAAGCGAGCACGACAAGATAAAAGAGCTGCTGCACAAAACGAAAGTAAAGATCAAGCGAAGTTTTCCGCAGCTTTTACAGTGTTGAAATTGCGACACAAAACGTAGGAGATCACAATGTCAGAGAGGAACACATGAAGTAGTTTCTTTCGTACTGAGAAAACCCTGCTTCAACACTGCAAAGCATGTTTGCACGTGCATGCCCCTGCTTCCCGTGATGTTTCGAGGGCACGATTCAGGCCTGGGCTGCAGGCTACCCCGGCTCTTGCAGATGCCAAAGCTCGATAACCTCTGAGCATACATGTTAGGTCTAGGGACGTTTTCAGCTGGGTAGTTACCGTTATAGAAGCCTTATAGAAGGTCTATATACCTTATAGAAGCCTTGTGGAAGCCCTATGTAATATATGTTGCTTAAACTCCCACCTGTAGTTTCCTTTCGTTAGGGGCCACCAGGTCCTGGGTCCCTAAGACCCTAAAACCCTAAACCCTAAGCCCTAAACCCTAAAGCTCTAAAGCCTAAAAATCCCTAAAGCTCTAAAGTCCTAAACCGTTAACTGTCGGGTTGAGGGTTCCGGGTCAGGAGGACATCCTGTGCCGATGCCAGGTCACACACTGGATCCGAGTGTCGGCGCAGGTCTACTTGGAGAGGCTTCCGCTTAGGGTTCAGGGTTTGTTTAGGGTTTAGGGTTTATTTGGGGTGTGGGGGTTTAGGGTTTATTTCGGGTTTAGGGGTTTGGGGGTTTTGGGTTTAGGGTTTTTGGGGTGGGTTGGGGGTCTAGGGTTTTGGGGGTTATAGGGTATGGGTGTTTGATCTTGTGGGAGGTGCCCAACCCCACGGGTCCATGCGACTCTGGGGTTAGGGTTGTGGGTTTAGGGTTTAGGGTCGTGGGCCAAGGCTTTGCCTGTAGGTGAAACGGACCCGTAGGGTGCAGGCTGATCCGAGACTTGAGACCTTTAAGGGACAATACGAGGGACCCCTAGAAGGGACCCCTGATCCTAATACCCTATAGAACCCTTATATACCCCTTATATAGTCTTATAATGCCCCCATACAACCCCAAGGGTCCCTTTAAGGGTCTCTCCTTTAGTCCCTTGAGACCCGTCGATCTAGCCCGAACCTGGGTTATTGTTCGGGGATTTACCTTTAAGTTACCATCATAAAGCAACCATGGTATGTACTATAGATCCCCATTAGTAATTACGGGTGACTTGACTACAATCCCTTAACAAGAACGCAGGAACCCGAGTTGAGGGTTTGGAGGCCGAGTTGGGTTTACAGCCCCCGGCGCCCGCACCTACAGAGACGACCATGTGCTTGTCGGACCCTAAGCGAGGGGTGGCATTTTCGAGAGGCCGCCCCAGAAAGAGCACCACAGTGGAAGCCTCAATGCATTGAAGTTATCTCGTTGCTGATGTTGAATCTTCTGGTTTGGGCTCTGGGGGGTTTTGGGGCGAGGCCTGAGTTTGATGGGAGTGCACTAGAAAACGGAACAGTGAGTGAATGCT